GCCCTGGGAATTCTTCCCATGTTGCCTTTGAAAGGAAAGCTTTTCTTTCCTCACACCCCATGGACCTCTTGGGTACGTGGGAAAAGTTAGGCTGGGGTCCTTTTTGATCCCCACTGACATCTCCAGACCATGGACACTCCATTCTTTTGCCACAGTCCTGCTCTTTTAAGACTCACAACTCAGCTATACCTCCCTCTCCTACTCCTCATCTTGTCCTTTTGACAGTATCTCTCTTTCACTGAAGACTTAAAACTTGGCTCTCAAGATCCACCCAAGATGCAAAACCCTGGACTCTCAGCTCCCCGGCGTTCTCATCACCAGTGAGCTGACCCGCTTCCACAACATCAAACCCCAGCTGCCTTCTCCCACACTTACCATGTTCTGAACCACCAATTCTAGCACCTCACTCTGACCACAGTCTCCTCCCCTTCAAGAGCACTTGTTCACCTATGCCCCCCATGACAGTTCTTAGACCTAATCCAGACCCCAAGTCTTCTCACTCATCTACTTTCTCCAAATCCATGAGCCTCTCTTCATGTCTCTCTATCCAGCTAAGATTCCAGAGTCTCTCATATTACTAGTAGTGGCATTCCTATCAATAGCCTTAACTCTGTTCCTCATCTGCATTTTACCACACATAGAAAAATCCAGGAAAATCCCATTGTGAAAGCAACAATCCAGTTTTTATATATTTGCATCCAAATATAATACATACAATAAAATCATACAATAAAGCAAACTGAATCTACTGTGATCTTCATCCTCCACAATTGCTTCTTCATACCTCCCCTCACTGGCCCTACTCTTACTTCCAGAGGAGGTGACCTTATCATCTCTTTCACAGAAATATTAAGTCAACAAAGCATTTACAATGCCCCTTCACTAAACTACAGAGATACCCCATCACCATCCATCCACCTTCCCTAGCTTCGCTCCTGATGCAATAGAGGAAGTGTCTGAGGTCAAGCCCATCACCTGTGCTTTCCATCATCCCACCTTCTCTGGAGGCTTACATTACCTTTTCGCATTCGTCTTCTTACCTTTGCCAAGATTGTCTTACTGCATTCTTATCTCAAGAATTTTTCTCAATCTCAACTCTCACTTTGGGGGTTTACAATCAGCCTGCTTTTTCAGCCCTGCAGGAGATTTAATTTCTGGAGTCTTGATTTCCTTTTGGTTTTTCCTAGAAACTCACCAATTCTTTCCTGAGTTCATCTCTTTCTTAAAATTGAGGAAATCACTAATAATTTCCAACACTGTTTTTGACCTGTCTTTCATGTCCTCTGGATCCATTCTCCACCCTACACCTGGAGGCTGATCTGTAAGGATAACGTCAAGCTCCCTTGCCCTCTTGCTCCTAGATGGTTTTGGCTAATGGGGAGCCATTGAAAGAGATAGGAGGCAAGAGGAAGAAAGTGAGAGTATTTTCTGGCTCCTTCTCAGCCAAGTTGCCTTAGGCTTACTGTCTCCCTCTAAATGAAGACCACATCTTATCCACAATTCTTTCCCCCTGGTTTAACTGCTCCCACAAACTTAACTCCTTGAATGCAGGGGTGGTAACAGCCCCGTAATTAATTGGCAGCCCTATGTACTACACTATTCCCTACTTTCTAAACTTTTTGCCAAACTTCTTTTGAATTATCCTAACTTGAATTGCCATCTGTTCTTGCTGAGACCAATACTCACATAAATACCCTGATCATTTCCAATTACCTTTTTTTTTTTGCATCCAGGGACCAATTTCTGTTTTAACTAGAATCCTTTTAGCTGCAAATCAAGAAGCATAATTCGACCTATCTTAGGCCAAAAGTGGCATTTATTACCTTGAAAATGAAACTATGCAAAGAATAAGAATACAGTTGGGCCTCAAAGGAGTTTAGAACTAGGACTCTCTCTAGCTTTGTCATTAGAAAAAAGTGGTTCTCCTTCTTCAGTTTCAATTAGAAAAACTAAGGACCTGGCCAAGCCTGGATCACATGCTTAACTCCGTGCCCAGACAGATGGAGTACTTACTAGTACTGGCAGCCCTGGGAGAACCACGTGGTGGGAGTGGGAGCA